AATCTTCATTCAATTTATATATGATTTAATCCAATTCCGTGTATTTAGGTACGAACAAATAGAGCTTCAGATCTGAAAAGTAAAAACACTTTTTTGTTATCTATAATACAATAACACTTACCTCTGGGAAGATACTCTTTGACGCGATAATGGCATGAAATTGATATATGATAAAAAGAACCAACGAATCTTTGTTTCTTTAAACTTATATGGATATCCAGCGAAACGTAATTTCGTTTCATATCAAAAAATTTGATTGAACAAATAGTAACTTCCATTTCAATAAACTTATGCCTATTATTTGAAAAAGTGATAAAGAATTGTAAAGATTATAAAACACTCTTTTATTACTTGCTTTACTAGAAACAAATCACTTTATTTATAAAACTAATTATATAACATATAGTTACAGTTAAAACTACTTATTACCAAAGTTTCCTTATTCAAATAATGTAGGATATATCCCAGACGAGCACCCAATAGGATATATTCCGGACAAACTCCCAATTTTATAAGATATATTTATCCCGAACGAGTTGCCAATTCTGTAGGATAAAATCCCGGGTGAGTCTTAAATTTGTAAGGATGAATCTGCGGGTAACGGGGAGATTGATTCTGTAATAACACTTCCGCTGGTTATAATATTAAATATATTTCGACTGATATCTTAAACGCTCGCTCGCTATTGGCATCAAAAAGTCTTTCCCGAAATACGCACTCAACCGCTCGCTCGCTATTTGCACCAAAAAGTCTTTCCCGAAACACGCACTTAACCACTCGCTCAACCACTCGCTCGCTAATCACACGGCAAAGTCTCGTCTAAAAAGTCTCGCACAATAGTCTCGCACCCACGCATTCCCACTTGCTTCTTCCTTCCACTTGCACCCTTCTCACTCGCACCTTTCGTCCATAGTCAAAATTCGCGCGGTCACATACACGCTTATCTCACGGTCCAGTCGCTCCGTTCCAGACGCTCTTCCTCGCATCCTTTCAGCCACTTAAGATTTTCTAAACGCAGTTACTCTATTTCCCAAACATAGCGGCGTTGGTCGTCGCAACATGACCCAGTCGCCCTCACGCACGCATGACGAACCACTCATTCTACAATTATAGCACATACACTAAGATCTATTAGTAAGCTTTTAATAAATAAAGTGTTAAAACTGAGTGTTTTGTAATGCCTTTCAAAAATTACGCGAATACGTTCATTAATACCATACCTAATTGATAAAAGCGTTTATTTACCAAAAAAATGTTCTCTTGGTCTTACAATGTTCGACCAGTGGTGGATACAGTAATACGCCTGAGCGGCGAGGGTTGATATTTATTAGAAAAGACACAAATACTAATATGTACAGCGATAAAAGTGTGTAAATATATGTATCTAAAACACGACTAAATGAATAAAACATTATATACGAGAGCAGTTATTCATGATAGAAAGCGAAACGAAAAAAGACCGCAGAGATAAAACAGAAGAAGTCATGCCTGAAAATATGTAATAAAACAGAATAAAAATAGTATATGAATATAAATAAAATTGACAGTAAACAACAACGTAAGTAAAAACAGAGTAGGAGTAGTAAAAGAGGTAGAATTACAGTAAAAAAGAGAAAAAAAAGAAATGCGTCAGGAAGAAATAAAATTGCACGGTTGCTCTCATTGCACATTACACTCTGTCTAAGAATAACTATCATCTAGATACTCCCATAAATATCATGCTATCGTAAAATAATATATTACAAAAATAGAAAATCATACTGTACAAATACTTTTTAGAATTAATGTTAATGTGTAGCACTGCCGTTGCTCGCGGAATTGACAAGCACCGGGTTAGCAACTTTCCTCGGTACGACATCGAACCAGAATCCACTCTCAGCCGTCATTTGAAATCCTTTCTTGCTCAACTTCATCGGTATAGGTGTTTTCTCGTTAGGCTTGAGGTTACATCGAGAGAACACATGGAACAGCAACACCTTAGTTTCGAGAAGCGCGAACCTATTGCCGATACACATTCTTGGACCTAAGCCGAAACTCAAAAACTTTCCGGAGTTTAAAATCTTTTTCGAATCGTCTAGGAACCGGTCCGGATTAAACTTCGTTGGCTCCTCGAAGTATTGAGGATCCGATTGCACTCCGTAGATCGGTATCCAAAGATATTCACCCTTTTTGACCACGTGCGGTTTTACTCCTGGCAATGTCGGCGGCAGCTTGAAAGGTTTCGTGCAAACTCTATCTATACCAACAAACACCGGATACATCCTTAGAGCTTCGTTTACAATAGCATCTAGGTACTTCATGTCATTAATCGCTTCATAAGACACGTCTCCTTTGCTGTTCTCCAGCACTTCGTCGATCTCTTCCTGCAATCGCTTTTGAACATCCGGTTTCACTCCTACTTCATAAGCAGCGAAGCACATCAGGGCCGAGGTAGTCTTGAATCCACCGAAGAAGAAGACAAACGCTTGCGCGGTCATGTCCTCGATCGTCAGTTCTTTGCCTGGACCTAACTTTCCTCTAGTTTCCATCATTAACTGAATCATGTCCGGTCGCACGATGCCCTGCTCGTCTCTAGCTTTAATAGTAGACGCGATCAAATCCTGGAAGAAGTCTACGATATTCTTGTCGACCAGCTTTATATCGAGCAACCTGCTAAGTACAGGCGAATTGCGCATCAAAAGGAACTTGATCGACTTCCACCCACTGAAATTCGTGACCGTCTTGCCGTACGCGTAGAACGTATTGTTACGATCGGACATGGAATCTACTGTCACTCCGAATGCGCAGGTGGCGATCATGTCGTTCGTGTACCTGGTGAACGGGTCCATCAGATCCATGGACCTTTCCTCCACGGGCACCGTAGCCAAAATCTCTCCGTACCGCACCGCACATTCATGCATCAATTTGTACATTGCTTTCATCTTGGTGGACGTGAAGGCTGGGCTCAATATGGCTCTCACCTCCTTCCATCGTTCTCCGCGCAGAGCGAACAAGTTCTTACTGAACAACGGTTCCGATGAGTTCTTTTGTGAGCCGTGGTCCTGAAAATGCTCGAAATTTTTCACTATGGTCGACTTCAGCAATTCCACATCGCGGACCATGATCACTGGCGTGAGGAAGTTGAAGAAGCCTACATACTTGGCTTCGGGGTGGGTATTGTAAATTTGCTGAACTAATTCGGCGATTGTGTTTTTTTGCGCGAACACTTTCCATAAGCTACCCAAGACCGGCAACGATGACGCGGTCGGAATCCCGGTATTGTCGAAGAAACTATACACACTTTTCAGGTAATAATAGACCACCGCCGCGCCGACGGCGAACAGGGCCACAGTTACCATCCATGCATTAATCATGACGATCACATTAACTCACTGGACGATCTGTCATTCATCGAGCGCGGAGTGCGGTAATTGTAATTTTTTTTATGGTTTTTCTTCTCTGATACAGCACGTTTTGACCGTTCGAAATTAAGTGATATTGATGTAAATTGAATCGTGAACCCGATAATGGACTGGTAGATACGAGCGATCTGGATCCAGGAAAATCTGACGTTATACTGACATGTGACGGTTTACTGACAGTTTATATGCGATATACCAATTTACTCCGTTATCTCAAAACCTATAATATATCGGCGTCCAATATTCGCTAGATGATACGTAACAGGTGTATCTTTCTGTTTGATAAAATTTTACATGAAGTTATTTTTAAACACTTTGTAGAAAACGATATTCTAAACGACTTTTCACTGTTACAAAGGCAGATTTTTTCTGTTTCCCAGGCATTCATAAAAATCTGACGAATTTAAATTGAAAGTATGACTGACTTGTATTTTAAAATATGCAAATTAATTTATTTTATAGTTTTTCAGAATCTGTATCTTTTCATTAACTGGAAGAAAATAAATCAGAAATGGATTATTTTCATTTCTTTAACACTTCTAGTATTAATAATATGTAGATTGGAAAATCTTACCGATTTTCTTTTCAACAATAAATGAAACTAATATAAATGCATGAATGAAACGACTGTATTTAGAAAACGTCAAGCAATCATTAGCGTTGCTGGTCAGAAGCAGCTCTTCGTACGTTACCAGTTAACCCTTTAACCTATAATAACGAGTTAGACTCGAGGTGAAGATTTTCAATACGATTCAATAAATATATGTATTACTCAGTTCATTCGAAATCAAAGTGAATATTATTCGTCTGTAATCAACTATTATAGTTAAAAGGAAATATAGGCATAATATATGCTTAGAATTTTTCTCTTTTTCCAATAAATTGTTGATGACAAAGCAGTCGTATCGACCAGAGTTGAGAAATATATCATAGGCCAAGGAGTTAAAAACAAAATCTCCAACCTTGGACTCTTAGTATGTAAATTAAACTAACAAATATTCGAAAAATTTGATGCATTAATAGTATTCCGTGTACTTTGAAAATTCTATAATATGTGTGAATGTTTTTCAATATTACAAAACTATATAGTTAACACATACATTTTTTAAATTGGAAATTAGTTCTTTTTCCATAACAGTTCTTTTCTCATATGTATAATAGTTCACTAATTAACTGAACTTTACTTCGAGATATTATTGTCTCAAAAACTTCTTTTATATACAAAGTTTTTGAAAATTGTTTCGTATAAATGAAAGGGTACACAACTCACCGAACTCACAAGGAGAGTGCAAGGCCTTCGGGTCACCGATTTCGTTGAAACTGTGCATATTGGTAGGTTTGGTTCTCCTGTTTATGAATATATACCATTATAAGGGCGGATACTCAATAGTTTTTTAGATATTCGTTATTAAAAATTTATCACGTCAATAAGTAGAGTATTAATCAGAATAATCACCAAGTTGAATAATGGCGTGAGGGTAATGTTCTGGAATTGTACTCCAGAAAATATAGTTTGACAAGAATACACTTTATAATATAATTTTATTGCGCGCGCAATGAGAGATTTTTCAAACTAAATTCCAAAGTTAACTACTTAAATAGAACACTGTAGTTTCTATTCCATATTCTTGAAGCCAGCATTCAGACGTTTAAAAGTTATAAAAATTAAATTTTTCGCGTGAGATGTTATCAAGATATCAGCATCAATTTCAAATAATATTATGGTACTTACATAGATCAAGGATTTGTCATCGATTTTAATGTCTTTTGAATATATCTCATAGAAACGTCAACAATTATGGTACATATTTTAATTTGTGATTTATTATAAAAGAACTATATATTTAATTTATTAATAGGTTTGAACTGGGTATATTTTTCGTACATTCTTTTTAAAATTATAAAAACAATAATAACTTTATTATGAGATTGGAATTCAAAGGAATAAAAAAAAATCCATCTTTGTACACTATAGTGTTTTGACTAAACTGTAATAAAACATGAGAATATTCACGTAAAGTACACAATCAATAGAAATGATGAAGTCGATGAATTTTTGAGGATTTGACAATCTTAAATATATTAGAAAGTTTTTATTGATGGTCAATATACATAAAACAATGATGGAAAATTATTTTAGGGGAGTAGTTTTGATGCTTTCACGGCCTGGATTGTTACATTCATTTCTGGCTTTCGGGAGAGAGCCGTGTCCACTAGGAATTTTATCCCAACATCCCCCTGAGACCCATAGTCAGCACAATAGGTTCTCCCACATATCAACTGGCCAAATTCGAAACAACCATCCTAACCCCTCTCACAGGCAAAACCGGGGCACACATACAAAATTCGGAACATTTCATACAGAAAGTTAAACATGTCAAAACCAACCCCAGTGACGTACTGGTAAGCTTCGAAATACAGTCTCTGTTCATTAACATCCCGGTACGTGACAGCCTGCAACTCCTCAAATCCAAAATTCCAGGTAACCTCATTCCTCTAACCGAACACTGCCTCACCTCCACCTATTTCGTGTACCAGGGTGAGTATTAAGAACAAACATCAGGCACAGCTATGGGCTCACCAATCTCACCAGCCATTGCCAACATATTCATGAAGCACCTAGAGAAACGCATCTTGAAAGAAGCCCCTCTAAAACCATCTGAGTGGTTCCGATATGTGGATGACACGTTTGTGGTATGGCCCAATGATCACGACACTCTCCCTTCTTTCCTCGAATTCGTAAATAACATACACCCAAATATCAAGTTCACCATGGAAATAGAAAGCAACAAATCCCTACCCTTTCTTGATGTATTGGTTACAAGGAAACCAGATGGCAGTCTAGGACATCAGGTCTACAGGAAACCGACCCACACGGACAGATATCTCAACGCCTCCACACACCACCACCCTGCACATAAGGATTCGGTCATCAGATCCTTGGTCAACTGCGCTCTGAAGATCTGCGATACCAACAACTTGCAAGCGGAACTTGACCACGTGAAGCACGCATTAATACGCAACGGCTTCTCAGGAAGCAGGGTTCAACGTACTATTAATAAACTCCATCACAGTACACCTCCTGCTCATGACCAAACTGACGAGCCGAACAACAGCATTGCTAAATGCTTGAAAAGGGAAGGCATCAAAACCATCTTTCAGACGGAGACAAAAATAGGACAGGTCCTCACCTCCCCCAAAGATCAACAACTGCGCCTATCTCATGCGGGAATATACAGAATCCCCTGTTCATGCGGTAAAGTATACATCGGGGAAACCGGGAGGAGCGTGAGTACATGCCTCATCGAAAACGATCGTTGCACCAGACTAAAGTACACCCAGTCTGCGGTCGCAAGACATCAACATCAGTTGACCACGGGACACACGATCAAGTTCGAAGAGACGAAGATCTTGTCCAGAGGCAAAAATTACGTTCCACGAAAGTATAGGGAATCTATTGAAATCCTGAAACACCCAAACAACATCAACAGGGACACAGGATATCAACTGAATCCCATTTGGCACTCCCTCCTCCCGTTTTTTTTTTTAATTGTTCAGCTGACCAATTAAAATAATTGGTGACCATCGATCCGGAACATGAACAGGGTACTTATTTAAAGAGACTCTTCCTCGGCACACATCAGTATCAATGTGCCTTTAGCCCCCTAATAAAGCCAGCTTCAATGCTGGCGAAACATTGGGATAAAATTCCTAGTGGACACGGCTCTCTCCCGAAAGCCAGAAAAGAATATATTTTAAGAGAGTTAGTAATTTTGCACTAATGAATAAATTATTGAAACCCAAATCTGAATCAATAATAATCTATTAAATGGAATTCAGGTAACTTTTTTGGGTATAGATAAAGAAAAAAATTACTTTGTTTTCAATTGTATTCGTTCACTTTTTCAACGGCTTAACGTTTCAATATTCTTTATATCTTTCTTTTAATTTTACTTGAGGGGTTCAAGATTGAGAGTAATATATAGTTTTGCAAATTTACAGAATTTCTAAACACAAAATGCAAATGTCGTTCACAGAAAATAAATCGGTGAAGATGCAAATCGGAAGAACTGCTTGATTTACCGATATCTCAGTTTCATTATTCATCCCCTGATCCATCAGCTTGTTTTTCTGTCGTCCACGGCACAGAGTTGAATAAATTACGCCTGATCTGTATTAATTAATTACCAATACAGTAGAATACATAGACATGTACAAATTATTCAGAATATTCTGTCTCCGCGTAAAAAGCTATCCAGCAATACAATTTGTCGCGTAAATTACAATAATTTCTTGTATGAAAACCGACGTATTTCAGTCTTTATGGTTATGCGATCACGCGATTTCTATTTGAACGCGTGGGATTCGCTCATGAAGGTATAAAGAAAAATCTCACGAAAAATATACATATATTACTTATTTGTCATTAATCTATTTTGTTCCATAAAAACAAGTATAAAGGTAGCGACAACAGCAACTTAAGATATTAAAAAGGAAACACGTTTGACAAAGAGTGACCGTGACATAAATCAAAGCATGCATACCAAATAAATATGTTCTTTTACTTTAAAATCTAATTAATCAAAAATTAAATCCTATTATATCACGTCAAAAGTACGACAAAAATATTTCTTTCTTAGTATTCATAGATAAAATAAATGTCATTATGATTATTAGTTTCGTAATCTCGCCTCGTGTCTTGTTATCAAATTCCCTATCATTCGATGATTAATAGAGTGATTAAAATCAATTCGCTTAACAGATACCGATCGAAGTAACTTTTACGTATTAAAAGTAAGTACTTCACACACGCAAACTAAAACCGCTTTCACACGACGATATACATACGTATCCTGACACGGCGCAAGTCGGGTCTTCTTAAAAAGGATAATTCGAAAACCCTGACAACCTTGATAATTCTTTTTGAGGTGATAGTATGCATGTACCCAATGATATGTGTAAACTGTTAGGTGTAGTTATTCAATAATTTTGGAGATTTAAGCAATTAAAATTATGTGTACACCTTCCCAATGTATCATAATTACAGACACCAGTGAAGTGAGCTTGTTTACAGCTTCGTAACTCGAAGATCATGACCAGTCGATTTCGAGTCACGGTATTTTACTTATCTTCTGTTTTCTCTATAAAGAATTAACGTGGGAATGAATGTACTGATGAACAATAAACGGCGCGACTGTCAGGATGCGCGTGTTTCGAATAAATGTTCAAGGCATTGGAGTATTCTAGACTAAACTGATTTTCTGTAATATTGATTTTTCTATGTTAATGACGTTCATGTTAAATGAATCTAGAATATTCCAAATGTACGTGAAGTTAATGCATGGTGACGGAAGAATGTTCGAGAAAGTAGACGAACGTACGTACTGTGCACGCAATTTCATTTAGATTCACTGTTTTATTGTAAATTGCGTAGTAAGATATTGTTTATACAAATGAAATATTCGCTTCCTCCTACAATATTGTTGGATGATAATTATCAAAAGCACGCGCGAAGCATAAAAAACGTTGACACTGCGAACATCTAATAAATGCTGTAAGAGTAGAATGTTTCAAATAACTATTCTTTTATTAAAGAAAATACACGACTACAATTAAAGTACAAAAAAAGAGACAATATACAAGTGGTTCGCACGCCGAGTAAACATAAAGCCCTAAAACTGTGATTCGCGTTCCTATTCCGTGTTCTTTAGCCGTTTGTCGTAATCGTAATTAGCGTTCGTATTCCGTGTTCGTTAGCCGTTTGTCGCAATCGTAATTAGCGTTCGTATTCCGTATTTGTCAGCCGTTTGTCGTAATCGTACTCGTATCGTATCATAGCTTATCAGTGAACTTTGACGTGTGATCGTTTCAACGTGAGTCTCCTGCCGTAGACGCATTCTTTTATCGGCTCCTCGACCGAACGTTCTAGGTCTAATTCATTTAAATTTTCGTACGTCGAGGTAAATGCCCTCAACACCCGTTGTTCGTTCTTGATATGCCACGGTCGCAATATTGCGGCGCTCACGTATACACATACGCTTGATCGTGCGCGTCTATCGGGCTCAGGAGCGTTCAAGAACCTCAATCAGGTGTTTTTCTGTATGTTTTCGTGTCAGCCGTGTTCTTGAACTCTTCTTTTTTACGCCTGCCTCCTACAATGCTAGTTTTTGGCACGGGCACCTTTCACTTTTTATTCTGCTGAAAAGCCATTTACATAGTCGCTCGAATGTAAATATGGTTTGAAATACGTCTATTGAAGTACAGAAAATTGTAATATCTTTGGCGGAAGCGGGAAAATCGTCTCGCGAAACTGCTTCAACATTATTTATCGGTAAAAGTACTGTAAATGACGTAATTCAAAAATATTGGCGTTCGAGAGCGCCCGTCGTCTGAAGGGCTGTTCTTTAGTTAACAAGCTGTATCTGCTGATGACAGCGTTCACCTAGCCGATTTTTCCTGCTAGCGAAGAATCTGTTTTTTCTCGAGACCACGCAGTCGTTTTACAACCCGCGGGTGGGAATTCCATCCCCTTCAAATCGTCATCGCTTTTCTCGAACACTCCGCTTGCGTCGTTCCTTCTCTGCGTCGGCGGAATGCTATGTCGCAACGTTATTATTACAAGAGTAGTTTAAATCTATGAAACATGTAAAATGCATAAAATAATTTATCCCCGAAGGCATTTTTATTATTTTTGCAATTTTCATATGGCCAAAAGCGTTTTCAATATTTCTTGGTCAAACCCAGTCATAATGAAATTTATTTTAAATATATACAGTTAAGAGCCCATGAAACGCTTTAATGATAAAATCTTAAAAAATAAAAAAAAAATAGAGTTAGTTGATTTCGACAATGAGCGGCGCAAATACGAAATTATATGCGAGTACTTACATGGGACGTTGAGACCATTCATTGCGAGAGTTCAATCGCGGACAAAATTGGACCGTTTGATGGCCAATGTCATTAACTTCTTAAATTTTTAAAAAATGTTTGAGATGTGGAGAATGAAAGAGTGTAACATTTTTAATTGTAACATTTTCCTCTTGGAGAACTTGAAGAAGGGATTAACATCCATTTTACTTCTTGTGTTGATTTCTATTTACATATATAGATTGTTTAAGTAATTGAGTTTATACTACAATGGCGTATTTATTTATGTATTTATAAAGCGTTTCTTTCGTCTTTTTTCTTCGTAGTCTGAAGTCGCAGATGCAGTTATATACACTTATATCCAATTATATTTTCAGTGTTGCATATTATCTTCAGAATCATGAGATTCATTGTACTATAATCGTTATTTGATTACAGTCCACATACACTCTAAAACAGAAAATTCCTGTTATCGCATGTCCGATTAAATTTTTAGAAATAATTGATTTATAGAAGAAAACAATTATCATAGTACCGGACACATTTGTACGTATTGCGTGTTAGTACAATGATATTCAGATATAGTACTGCACACTTCTGGTTCCTTAGAAATAAAAAAATGTATAAGAGTTTTTGGACCGTTATTTGGATACGATGAAATGCATAAGCTAAAGACACTTTATATTTTTGATTTTCATTTCATAAAATTCGTTGACATGGAAACGAGAGAAAGTAATAAATACAGTAGTTTGGGTTTTTAGTCTATGATTCGTTCAGCCAAATTTCGTGCGTTCTTATTACTAAATTGTGGTTGCATTCTCTTGTGTTCTTTTATAACGAAACCGTTTTTGACAGCTTTATAGCGAACATGCAAGAATGTAGTATATATCTTATATAATAACATTCAACAGTAAATACAATCCGTATTCTCCATTTTTATGACAAAAGAACTTCATTTATATTTTTTATCATGAAACTGATCACGAACAAAATAATATCAAAATATGCTAATTTGTAAATTGCATTTGCAAATAAAACAGTTTTTGACAGATTCTTAGCAAAGACGCAAAAATTTGGTATATTTCTTATATAATAACGTTCAATAGTAAATACAATTCGTATTCGCCATTTTTATGAGACGAAGAACTTCATTTATAATTTTGATCGTAAAACTGATCATGAACAAAATAATATGAAAATATGCTAAACTTTAAATTCCGTTTGCACGAAATAATACGAAAATAAATTTATGTACTTTTGTAACTCCTTTGCAAACGTATGTACGTTTGTATATTATGTATAATATGAATGAGGGACATGATTCATGCAAGAAATTTCATCTTTTTATTGTGCTTGATAGAAAAGAATAACCGTGGCAATTCCTGGCACATATTTCGAAATTTCATACTTGAACATCGCCACTGTGGTAAATTTCTGCATGCCTTAGGTTCCATTGATAAGAATTATTATACGAAGAAAGGTGAATGTAAATTAATCCATGTATAATAAACCGAATAAATTATAGGAACGTCATCTCTTACCCACACTGATTCCACAAAGTTCCCTGACATCAAAATGAAAGCAATAACTAGAAGCAGAAGGTTGAGTTTCTGATTCATGATTGCACGAGTTAAGTCCCTCGCGTTTCTGCTAAAAAAAAAGGTGTAGTTACATTTGTATATTTTTCTTTTATATGTAAAAATATGCGGACATTGTACCGTAAACAGACGCATCAGTACTTAAAAATGTGATATCACTTACCTGACTATTTTTTAACAGTAAACACGGCCTTTCGTGACAATAGAAGATCACGAAACTAAATGTTATGGGTACTTTGGCAGATTTACTGTAATTCGTAAATATCATTCACTTTTATAGTATTTTTATTATATTTAAATAGCACCTGTAGACATGTTATGGCCATTACGGTCGCGGCACAACCCGTCCTTTTTATATGGAAAACGGGACGAAAATACTGGTAAATATAGACTATGTAAATACTTGAAAAAGCAACCAGTAGTTTTGAATGTCAAAGCGATATCATGCATGATGCGATAGAGCGCTAAGAAGTCAAACAAATGATAGGATAATGTATATTTATTCGAAGAACTTGCCAGACAATGTTTCTGCATTTCAATTGTGTATGTCGCGTGTTAGGTATAAATTATATAAATTCTTTTGAAAGCTGCATATATTGCATCGATTAACAGTTAACTCATTGGTCTGTGATTGTTTCTCAACTCTGATCGTAATAATTTATTGGAAACACAGAAAAATTCTAAGCATATGTTATGCCTATATTTCCTTTTCAGTATAATAGTTGATTACAGAGGAATAATATTTACTTTGAATTCAAATTAAATAAGTAATGTATATATTTGTTGAATCATGTTGCAAATATTCACCACGAGTCTTACTCGTTGTTATAGGACAAGGGGTTAATCTAAAATAAAGGGTAATAATTATTTTTATTAATATAATTGTAATAAATTAATGAATTTTGTATACTGTTTTACGTTTGATTACTTTTCACAAATTGTTCCGTTTTAAATAATTTGCTGTTTAATATGTGAATACACATATACGAGTAATATTATTACGCTGATTAATACTAAAACTATTGAATAAGTCAAGATGGCTGCGATAAATGTTATTATCTGTCGATTATTAATATCTTGAAAGTATTAAATATCTGAAATGTTTTTAAAAATTAATTAAGTTCACTGGAACTATAACAAATATTCGAGTATACTCAGCAGTTTTAGTATTGATTTAAAAATACTTCAGTATACATCTACTGTAAATCATACTTTGTGTAACAGTTTTTTACGTCAAATTTAATACTGAGAATGATATCATTAGATGTGCCATTAAAAAACCGATTACAATGATGTTTTTCCTTGTAGAAAACAAGCAATTTTTATTTGAAACATCTTGCATGCGGTGAATACGTATAAAAGTCATATATCTTTAGAATATGCTACGTCAGATAGTAGATTATATAATAGTAAATTATTTAAAATAGAACGATCGTGAAAAGCTTTCTCATAATTATTACACAAATGTATAAAACAATTAAATATTATATATACGTATAAGAAGTGACCGGGGTCCAGGTCTATACAGCGCATAGTCACGGCTCTGAACGGCCGTGGTCGGCGAGCGACCATTTCTGCGAGCTGTTTTCTGTTCAAAAATGTTTGCAGAATTTAATGATGCAAAGCAAACTCTTGCTAGCCAACCCACTTTTCGTAGAAATGTAACAGAAGTGTGTATAAAGTACGCGTATCTACCCTTTTTTAAACTTTCATCATCATTTACAAACATTTAATGATACGCAATATTCAAAATTTGTACAGCTACATATTCAAGTAACTCTCCTCTATTTTTTACGACAAATTTTAATTGCCTATCGTGTTTAGTTTTCACGTAACACTTGTTTCTTTGAAAAATTCAACCGTCGTTACAAAACCCATTTGTTTCGAAAACTGGACGTAACCCAGTAATTTGGGTTTAGGATTCGTATTTAGGGTAAGGAACTCTATAAGGACCACCTAGTGGCTATTACAAAACAAAAATCGTGTTCCACAGTGTTATCAGCTACCACTAGTCAAACAGTAATTGTTATGGTATTACTTATTTATCAGGTTCGACACTACAGAGAGGCAGAATCAATATCACAAATACGTTTTGACTGAGCACAGCATTAAAATATAAAAGACGATTTTCATTGTAACAGAAATGAACGTCATGACAAATTAAATAAAATGTTTTCAATAAACATCAAACAATTCAATAAGTTTAATGTCAAGTGTGAATTATTTATGTAGTTCACAATCATTCTCCTAAACAATTTCGAACCTTATGTTACAAAACTAGAGCTCAATTTACCCAATCGTTGAATACAGCCCGCTTTTTCCGTTTCAATTTACGATCAATTTACAATCTAACGCAATGGCGGTAACAAAACTTCAAGAATCTTAAAAAATCTCTCAATAATCTTTTTTCTATAAAGTATTGAAATTCGCTATAATTTATAAATATTCATCAACAGGAGAATCGTTTCTAACCTATTTTTTATTTCGCAAGAAAAGCTATCGAATCCGGAAGTTCAAAAAATTATCAAAATTTGTGTGTAAGTAGAATAAGCCAAATCTAATACACTGCAATGTTGTTTGTGTCCAATTTCACTTTGAAGAGGTGAAACCATCTCTCCAAATGAGTGCAAACTTTTCTTTCCGCGGATTATCTTGAAAATGGTAAAAAGTAACGAGAAGAAGTTTAAACAAGAAACACATTATTCTTCCGCATCTATAAAATTGCGAAATAACATTTTCAAAATTCAAAATTCAAATTCATAATTACGAAAAATTTGAACTTTTTAACAAATTTTATTTTGTAGTTTTCTAAGCGTGAAAGAACAACGTATTTTTTATTTAAACTGTTTCTCGGTCTCTTAGCATTTTCAAAGTAATCCAAAATGCTTCAGGCAGAACTTGCAAGGTACAGAACTAACCATATGGTAGTTATACTTTTTCATGTTATAGGGATATTATGAAATCTTTTAAATAACAATAGATATTTTGCGTTTTGATTCCAATGTTATATAAATAGAGAAACGGAGGTTATTCACATAAAGTTATGTGAAATATGATTTTTCGCTCTGATGCATCAGAGAATAATTTTCGTTGTTAAAATTCCGTATAAATATATTTAACAGTGAATACAAGTTAGAAATATAAATACGTGGTAAACTCGGAATGTCTGTATGACAAACCTTGAGCGTGCTAAACAGTGATTACAATTCATTAATTTTTGAAATAAAAATCATTTTATATAGCAGGGACTACTTAGCAACAAGTTGATAATTTTCAATTTTTGTTATGTGAATAGTCGAATTTTAAGTTTGGTTCACAGGCGACTGCACTATTCGCTGATACGACTTGTAATCTTTGTTCGGAGCGTAGCAACCTCGTTAAATTGCACGCCCGTACATGATCACCAAACGCGAATTAAATTCCTTTGCTGGGGTTGTAAAGCCCAGCTTTAACTTTAGGTCTCGTTGATGGTCGCGACGCTTCGATTTCCGAACTTAATCAGAAACCGAATGTTTCAATTCTGATCTCCAAACGATTGAAATCAAACCACCGGTTTCTCACGATATTGAGAACCCGTTTTTCTGTTACGCGTTTCAAGACGAACGAATTCTCAAATTTCGAACTCGTTGTTTTTTCGAAGTGTAAAGCTAAAGTCTATTGCGAGAAGTGTAGTAGCGGAGTGTGCATTAGATGAGTTCTTACGGAAGTTGTGTTGCGAGAAATGTGTCCCTAACGATGGACTTGTGATTAAGGAAAGGAAGTGTTTTGTACTACAGATACTACAGTGGCGTATTTATTTATGTATTTATAAATCGTTATTTTCGTGTTTTTTTCGCAGTCTGGAGCTGCAGATCTAATTACATTTCCACCCAATTATATTTTTAGTGTGGTGCGTATTATCTTCAGAATCATGAGATTCATTATATTGTAAACGTTATTTGATTACCGTCTTCATCTACCTCCACATACACTCTGAAACAGGAAATTCCAGTTATCACATGTCTGATTGAATTTTTAGAAATTAGTAACTCATAAAAGAAAATCATTGTCATAGTACCGGACACATATTGTTATACTTCATGCTAGTACACATGCTTTTGGGTAAATTTTTGCATATTGAGAGTTCCTACAAACATACAAAAATGTATAAGAGTTTTTGCAGTATCATTTACATAAATTAAAGAAACATCATATTTTTACCTTACATTTCACAGAATTCGCTAACATCAAAACAAGAGAAACTAATAAAAATAGTAGTTTGGGTTTTTAGTCTATGATTCGTTGAACCGAATTTCGTGCGTTCTCGTTACTAAATTATAGTTGTATTCGCTTGTGTTCTTTTATAACGAAACAGTTTTTGACAGCTTTTTAACGAAGACGCAAAAATTTAGTATATATTTTATGTAATAACGTTTAACAATAAATATAACCTTTCGCGGCAGACATGATAGAAATTCATGAAAGTAAGCATGTAAGTGAGAAGGACTTCATTTATAAAATTTGTCATGAAAATGATCACAAACTAAGTAAAAAAAGAAATATGTTAAACTGTAAATTGCATTTGTACGAAATAATATGAAAATTAATTTATTTACATTTTTAACTCCTTTACAAACGTATCTACATGTTGAATATTATATATAATATGTATAAGGGACATGATTTATAAAATGGTTCCTCCAATTAATTTCATTTAATATATTAATTATCGTATTTGCAACCAAAGTACTCATTGCATCAATTCTTTTCCATAACAAAATTTCAACGTCACTATGAATAATTTCTCTAAATAAGGATTGTATGTACGTCACTTGACAGAAAAGAATAACCGTAGAAATTCCTGGCACATATTTCAAAATTTCATACTTGAACAAAGTCACTGGGGCACATTTTTGCGTGCATCAGGTGTCATTAACAAGAATTATGATACGAAGAAACGGGAATGTAAAATGATCCATACCGATTCCACAAAGTTCCCGGACATCAATATGAGAGCAATAACTAAAAGCAGAAGGTTGAGTTTCTGGTTCATGGTTGCGAGACTTAAATCCCTTGCGCTTCTACTGGAAAGTTGTAATAGTAATTGCGTATTTTCCTTTTATATGTAAAAATATACCGAAATTGTATCGTAAACAGACGAAACAGTACTTAAAAATACGATATGGTTTATGTGACTATATTTGAACAGTAAACACATTTCGTGACCATAGAAAATCACGAAACGAAATGTTATGGGTATTTCGACAGAATTTTGCAATTCATGAAAATATTCACGAAAATACTAGTAAATATAGATTATGTAAGTACTTGAAAAAGCAATCAATAGTATAGCATCTAGAATTCTTAGCGTAGGTTAAGGTATTTTTAAGAAGAGTGAATGTTGAAAATGAAGGACAGGTTGTAAAACGGTCGAGTTATAAATTAATAAAAATATTATAAATAAATAAAAAGCATAAAATGAAATGCAGTTTCAACGGGAAACCCCGATTTTCAAACAAATTTAAAAATTAGTGAAATGTTTCGATCTCAGATAATTGAAAAACCGAATAAGATTAAAGCATGCCATTAGTGCAAATTTAAAAATGCCTCTATCACATCTTATGATGAACACTCGTTCTTAGCTTATAAGTTGACCTTAGCGATAAACGTCATCAATTAACGTTCTCGAGAAAATACTCGTAAATTATTATATTTTTTTATTTATTTATTACGTTACATCTACAACTAACTGCACGAAGCTAACCAACAAATTTGATGAATTAGAGATATGACTTGTATGCGGTAAACGCTCCGTACCGTAGTACGGTATGTTCCTTCCTTTACTTATTTCTGCAGATCGGTTGGCTTATTCCCTTTTAGTGTTCTGTTTTGTGGTGTATGATTTAGGTCCTTGACGGATTCGGTAGGATGATTTAATATTCGTTTTTCCTATTAGGTGTTTGACAGTATGTATACCTAGATCTTTATACAATGAGTCCGCAGACATGTACCATGAGGTAGCTGCAATATTTCTCAATGCTTTGTTCAAGTATCTTTGAATGATATTTGTGTTACTTTTCTTTGCATATCCCCAAAGCTGTATTCCATATGTCTAAAATTGGGATAATTTGTCTCAAGATGTTCGCTGTTAAGTTTGACCGCAGGAGACATAACGAGTTTAGTAGTAAATGTGATGTGAGTTGATTTATTTGTATTGATTTTAATTTTCCATTTTCTGGCCCACTCTGCAGTCTTATTCAGTGCTCCTTGTAGGAATTGTCACGCCTCCTCAGGATTTTCGTGGGAAGCCAAAAACGCAGTATCGTTCGCGAATTGTGGCCACAAATACATTTTCGTCGTCAGGTGGGTCCGCTGTGTAAATTTGAAACGCTACCTTGACGCTACCTTGAGGAACATCCGCGAGTGTTGGATAGATCTTCAAGTGTTTGTCGCATAAATTGACCTGGAAAAGCTCATCAGTTAAGTCGAATTTTAACAGGTTGTAGTAATTGTGTGGGCAATTTTGTTTAATTTTATATAGTAGGCCCATATGTCATACTCTATCAAAAGCTTGACTAATGTCAATGAATGCAGCGGAGCATATCATGCGTTTTTCAAGGCATTCCCTATCACACTGACTATACGTTGTACTTGTTCAATGGTGGAGTGTTTCTTACGAAAGCCGATTTGGTGTTGTGGAATTATGCACTTGTCCATCATTATTGATGTTAGTCTATTTAATAGCAATCTTTCAGATAGTTTTAACAAGATTGGTGACAATGAGATAGGCTTATAGTAAGTCACTTCTTTGGCTGGTTTGTCAGGCTTTTGGATGAGAATGATTGTCGCAAATTTCCATTGAATGTGAAAATATTGGATTTCCAGTATCGCATTGTATATTTGTGTAATTGCTACTACGCCACTTGTTTTGGTATTTCTTTTAACATTTTAGCTGTAATGAGATCATATCCAGGTGTTTTATTATCTACTTCTTACCTACTACTACTAGGCCTCCCTCGCCTTCCATCGAAGCTCCAGACGAGGCCAGCAATGTAGCCTTGGTGAAGCCCTTCGAAGTGAGTGAGGTGGATCGTCGGATCAGGCGTATGACAAACTCTGCGCCTGGGCCCGACGGTCTCACCTACAATGATCTGAAAAGGGCAGATCCGGGGTCGCATTTGCTGACCTCTTTGTTTAATGTATGTCTGCGTATGGAGTCAGTCCCCTCGTGTTGGAAAGCTTCCAACACTATGCTTGTGCACAAAATGGGTGATCGAGACAACCTGTCGAACTAACGACCGCTGGCCATATCCGACACGACCCCGAAACTCTTTGCCGCTGTTTTGGCTGGCCATCTTGTCGCGTGGTCGGTCAAGAACTAGCGCCTGAGTTCCGCGCAGAAGGGCTTCCTGCCGTACGAGGGGTGCTATGAGCACAACTTCGTGTTGCAGGTAGCCCTTACAGACGCTCGCAGGTGGGGGCGTCAGGTGGCGGTGGCGTGGTTGGACCCGTCGAACGCATTCGGCTCGGTCCCCCACGCCTCCATCTACCAATCCTTCGTGGAGGCCGGGGTTCCCTCAACTCTTCAGAATATTCTGAAGAGTATGTACCACGGTTGCACGACGCGGGTGCGGACTTCCGATGGGTTTACCGACCCCGTTCCCATCCTCTCCGGGGTGCGCCAGGGCTGTCCGATGAACTCCGTGGCGTTTAACCTCGCCCTAGAACCGGTGCTGCGTGCAGCTGCCGGGACCTCGGCGGGTTACACGCTGCACGGCCATCGGCACAGTGTCCTGGCGTACGCGGACGATCTCGCGTTGGTCGCCGACACCCCGGAGGGGATGGAAACGCTGCTGAAGGCAGTGGATGCTGCAGTGGGTGGCATTGGATTGCGGTTCAACCCCACAAAATGCGCGACCCTCCACCATCGTGGTAGGGGGCCGCGGGGGTCCGTGCCACCCGCTTCACCATCCAGGGTCAGCAAATGCGCGCCCTGGCAGCCGGTGAGCCCTACGAACACCTGGGCGTTCCCACCGAGTTTCAGGTCCGTCAGACTCCACTGCTGACGATCGATGAGTTGGTTCAGGATCTGCAGGCCGTAGACCGTTCCCCCCTGGCCCCGTAGCAGAAGGTCGAAACCGTGGCAGCTTTTATACTGCCGACGTTTTTAACAGCTTCGACGTATGGCCAAATCCTGGCTCAACCTCCCGCAGCGGGCCAGCGCGGAAGTAGTCTACCTCCCACCCAGTAGGGGGGGATGTGGACTGCTTCCGCTTGCTTACATGGCCAACGTCTTGACCATAGCTCATGTGTTTCGTCTTCTGACGGCGGATGACGCGGTGGTCATGGAGTTGGCCTGGAACTCGCTGTGTGAGGCTGTAGCCAGGAAAATCGGCCATACTAACCCGTCAAACAATGACCTGGCCGAGTACCTCTCTGGTTCGCTGGAGGGGTACTTCGCCAGGAACGAGGGGGTCGTTTCCTCACTGTGGTCGAGGGTACGGAATGCTGCACGCAGAAGCTGGGACCAGCTTGGATTGCGCTGGCAGTGGAGCGAGGTGCGATCTGAGCTCGCGGTAACGCTCAGAGGTTCTCGCGATCGGGAGACCATAGTTCCGCCCATGGCAAGGAGTCAGATCATCCGCCGACTGCGGATGGCAGTGGTAGGATACTACCACCAGCGGCTTTCCCGCAAAAAGAATCAGGGGAAGATGTTCGGGGTGTCATTGCGGAGTGGTGTTTCAAACCACTTTCTCCGCGGCGGCAACTTCACCCGCTTCGCTGATTGGCGATTTATACACCAAGCTCGCCTCGACGTCTTGCCTCTTAACGGAGCAAGGCGCTGCGGCGCGGGTGATAAACGTTGCCGGCGATACGGGGCGGAGCTCGAGTCCCTTCCCCACGTCCTTTGCCACTGCCGTCCGCACTCGGCGGCCTGGCAACTTCGCCACGATGCGGTGGTTTCCCGTACCGCTAACGCTTGCCAACTGCCAGGGGACATAAGGGTTAACCGGACGGTCGAGGTCATCGACGGGGGTCTGGGGGCTCTTAGGCCTGACATCGTTGTCAGGCATGAGCCCTCAAGGAGTATCGTCATCGTGGACATAACCGTGCCATTCGAGAACGAATATACGTCATTCGAAGAGGCCAGGGCGCGAAAAATACTCAAGTATAAGCCCCTGGCCGATGTTCTCGGAGGGCGCGGTTACCGGGTGGCGGTCTCCGCGATCGTCTCGGTGTCCTCGGCTCTTGGGATCCGGCCAATGAGTCGGTGTTGAAGATTCTGCGTATCGGTAAACGGTACGCGTCTCTGATGCGCCGGCTCATTGTGTCGGAGACTGTCCGGTGGAGCCGGGATATCTACGTGCAGCACGTCTCGGGAGTACGCCAATATCGCGAGGCCCTCACCGAGGATGTCCCGGCTCCTGATCCTGGCTGACCTATCGATAACCTGCGGGGGTCAACTCCCCCGACATGAGAGGAGCAGTAGGGGAGAGACAGCAGCAAGGTAAGTAGCTAATAATAATAATGAACCAAACCAATAGAATAAAATACACTATTTATCTACTTATTTATTTATTTACTTATTGATTTATTTATCTACTTAGTGATTTATTCTATTCTATCTAGTCATACTAACTTATTCTATTTATCTATCTAATTTTATTCTATCATCTATTTCATTTCATTCTATTTTAACTTATTTATTTATTTATTTACTACCTGACTATCAATTTTAACATTTCTAACATTTTATCTTACTCTATTTTATCTCCTTTTAAAGCATGACTAGATCTAATAACTTGGTTTCATTTTTATTAACTGTCAGACCCATCTTACTTTTTTAACCCACTTCTTTTAACTAATCGTACATTAGCTACTTATGCATAACTATGCCCTGCTTCTCTCTCTATACTAAACATCTAACCACATGCTTGCTGCTCTACTGCACTTGACCGCGCGCTCACGCCCTACCACTATTATTTTAGCTGCTGTTTGCTAATGCTCTATCTATTTATTTATTTATTTATTTATTTATTTATTTATTTATTTATCCACTTATTTATTGTATTTATCTGTTTATATATTTATTTAGTT